TTCTGAAGGCAGTTCTGATGTTAGCCAGCCTTGCATACGCCCCAGATGTTATTTTTTTGATTTGGGCTTCAGAAGACAGGTTTGGTGTGATATCAACTCCTAGTTCTTTCTCTGTCTGTTTCGTGAAGTGCTTCATCTCCCATTCTGTATCTGGCCTCCTGTTTCCTCCACCTAGTTTTATTAGCTTACATTTACTTGGGTTCAACTTTAGTAGCTATTTGTTGGACTATTCCTTCAGTCTGTCAGCCCAGACTGAAGGAATGAGTGTGTGGTGATGACGGTTGTGTAGTTACAGTGAAGAAGATAGTGTAGGGATGATGTGGTCACGGTTAGCAGAGCATCGCCGGGTACCCAAGGTAGTGTTTTGCACAAAATAATGCTGCATCTCAAATTATCTTGCCCTCGTCAGTATGGTTAGAATTCTTTACTGCTAGAATCCACTCAGTAAAACATTTAAACTACTGGGACCGACTAAAGAGCCTAAATCTGTATTCTCTAGAGCGCAGGCGGGAGAGATACATAATAATTTACACGTGGACAATAGTAGAGGGGCTGGTCCCAAACCTGCACACAGAAATAACACCATATGAGACCAAAAGACATGGCAGGATGTGCAGAATACCCCCGTTGAAGAGCAGAGGTGCAACAGGTACTCTGAGAGAGAACTATCAACATCAGAGGCCCGAGACTGTTCAACACGCTTCCACTACACAAGGGGCATAACTGGCCGACCCCTCACAGTGTTCAAGAGAGAACTTGATAAACACCTCCAAAGGATACCTGATCAACAAGGCTGTGATTCATACGTCAGACTGCGAGCAGCCGCGTCCAACAGCCTGGTTGACCAATCCAGCAACGAGGAGACCTGGTCGAGGACCGGGCCGTGGGGACGTTGAACCCCGAAATCATCGCAAGGTAAGGTATGGATTCAGATAAATGTTAAAGGACTTCACATCATAAAAACCAGTATCTCGGTGGGATTGTGCTAACCTTCGTAAAGATAACCTAACCTAACGTAAAGATTGTGCTTTACAGTCTCCGTGGTGTAGTGGTAAGACACTCGCCTGGCGTTCCGCGAGCGCTATGTCATGGGTTCGTATCCTGGCCGGGGAGGATTTACTGGGCGCAATTCCTTAACTGTAGCCTCTGTTTAACGCAACAGTAAAATGTGTACTTGGATGAAAAAACGATTCTTCGCGGCGGGGATCGTATTCCAGGGACCTGCCCGAAACGCTACGCGTACTAGTGGCTGTACAAGAATGTAACAACTCTTGTATATATCTCAAAAAAAAACAAAAAAAAACTTTACTGCATTTGAAACCGCACCGAATTATTTTATTGCAGTTCTGTATTGAGGTATCCAGTTAGTAGGTGTTTTGATGAATTTATTGGAAGGATATTCCCCGTCAGTGCTGGGTCGGGCCACCCATCGAGGCGGGCGATGGGTGGCCCTTCACAGCTGTAGGTGGCAGGGGGAGGGAAGGGAACTATCAAGGGAAATCGCCATGCCATTACGACTATATAAAACTGGGAAGGGATAAGGATATGGGATGGGACGAGGGGCTGGAAGGGGAGGGGGGGGGTAGAAGCCTTTAATATTGCATCAATTCTGCCAAGTCTCCGGAATACTCAGATTTGTGTACTTTAACCCTTTTAGATTAAGTTATTACAAAGCAAGCGTGGTCCTAGGCTGGGCTTGGTGAGCAGAACTCTCGAAACCATGTACAGGAGAAACATGAACTGTGTGTGGTGGTAGGAAGCCTCCGGTGGTGGGTGTGAGTGATGTGTTCTGCCCCGGGCTCCTCCCTTAACACCCAGCCAGCCAGCCCCTTGGATACGTGTGCAGGTCCGTGACCCAGTGCGCTGGAGCCGGCAAAAGAATAATCCATCTGGAGTCTGCCGCAACAAGATTCATGGCGGGAGTTTCGAAGCGATAGGCCGCTCTCCCACTTGGGAATAGAGGAGCGAGCAGGCAGGCGAGGGCGGGAAAGCTGGAGAGTGCCGCAACACTCTGCTTCATGGTTTGATAACGTCTTCCTTCTTACCCACCACACGACAACCTTGCTTCATAATTATGTATCCCGGGTCCTTGCTGGGGTGCCACAGTCGTCATAGCACGAGTGAGAGGCAGGGGCAGGGGGAGAGTGAGGGAGGGGGGAGGGAGAGGAAAAGAGAGAGAGGGAGAGGGAGGGGGAGAGAGAAAGAGGGAGGGGGAGAGAAAAAGGGAGAGGTAGGGGGAGAGAGAGTTTCTCTCTCTCGCGAGTTTCTCTCTCTCGCGAGTTTCTCTCTGAAAGAGTTTCTCTCTCTCGCGCGGGTTCGATTCCCGCACGAGGCAGAAACAAATGGGTAAAGTTTCTTTCAATCTGAATGCCCCTGTTACCTAGCAGTAAATAGGTACCTGGGAGTTAGTCAGCTGTCACGGGCTGCTTCCTGGGGGTGGAGGCCTGGTCGAGGACCGGGCCGCGGGGACACTAAAGCCCCGAAATCATCTCAAGATAACCTCAAGAAGATAACCTCTCTCTGGGCCTATAGCCAAGGCGAATTACCACAATGACTACATCACATTGCCTGGTCCGGTTACAGTGCTGACCATACAAATACCTATTATTACAAAACTTGTCATAACTTTTAATACTGCAGCTTTTAGATCAATGGACATTTTTTAGTTCTTTTAAATCTGAATTAATTTCTTTATTTTTGTATCTTTCTAATAATTGTATTAGATAGTCCAAAGTCATAATCAATGTTTTCTTTCCTGCAAGCCTCATTGGCCAACCGATCTACAAAGTCATGTTTTCCAACTCCAACATGGGATGGGATCCACACAAATTTAATAGAATAGTTATTATCAGTGGCAAAAATTACATTCCATTTATTATTACAAGCTACTTCAGACATACATTGTGATGAGAGAGAGAGAGAGAGAGAGAGAGAGTGTCGGAAAATCCGACACCATTTAATATCATACAGACAGATAATAAGTGCTGCTGTATTACCAACAAGTTACCCATAGAAAACGTAACTTGTAGTGGAATTACCATCTAAAGAAAACGGGATATCATCACCACATACTATTATAATTCACCACCTATTATGGTGGGAATTATTCTTAAATACATTAGTCTTTGGACTTTACCATCATAAAAACATCTTATATAAATTAACTTAATTATCAATATTAAAGTAGAGTAAATGTGACCCTTCTATCACTTTCTGACATCTGGACAAAGTAGGCCAGGCGTCAGTGGAGGAGGGAGGGCAGCCATTGTTGTTATACGAGACCAGAGGCTCACACGGGAGCAAATTCGGCTCCTGTTAATTTTACTTGGACGTAGTGTTATGGATACCAAAGGTGTACCATTTGTCAACACGCTGTCAACAAATCAAGTTAAGTGTTCTTTCCGAAACCCATTATCTATCATTAGTGGCCATTAATGTCATTATATAGGGTGACCCGGTTAGAACGCGAAATCGCCTCATACTAAAGGTAATTAAGCCAGGTCTTCATGTTCCATGTACTGTTTTCTCTGATATACTTGTCATATATAGGTATCTGGCTTCACAGCTAGCGCACTTTTGACAGGTCAAGACGAGGATGCAAGATTTGTGCACCAGTTACTGGGTGATATGGAAGCTACCTCAAAGAGGATAATTTGGTGTCTACACCCTAGTTATACCTGGTGGACTAACCTGCTGTACTATAAGATAAGGAACCTCTTCAATGTATGTAGTTACTGTAGTTTGATTGGCTGCATACATATAAATATAAACCCCCCTAATGTGTAGAGGATCGATTTGTGAGATTATGAGATTATTGCAGAAATACAGTCCACTTATCATTATACAAATTGCTATCGAAGTATATAAATTAACGTAAATATAAATTCATATAAATTAAATAAATATAAATCTCACAGGTCGGTTCCCACAGAGAGAGAGAGGGGGGGGGGGAGGGAGGAGGGAATCGGGTTGGACGATGGTGAGAACGAGAGTGGAAGAAGACAGTAAGAATCAACGAGGAAGGGAACGAGAGTAAGGAAGCCAATAATAGAGAAGTTAACAGAAGTTATCGCGTCACAACGTCAAGAGACGGTGTTGGCGAGACAGGCGACGCTCCGGGAAGGCAGTTGGGCTCGCTAGACGAGCAGGCGACGCTGTAATACATTGACAGGGACCATTGTTGGTGGCAGGAAGTCACGGTAGACATGTGCAGTGACGCAGTAAGGTAGACGAGCAGTAGTTGGAAATACATGAAGAATGTAACGTATTTATTAGGGAATGCTTACATTATCGGGGAGTGAGGTAAACAACCATATGTAGGTGGAGGGAGGGAGGCAGGCAGGCTAGAAGATAGCCAGACAATGAGACAAATATGCAAGGAAGCAGGGATGCAGGCAGGTTAGGTAGCAGGGAAGCAGGCAGACAGCTATGAGTGGTTGAGCGGGTGGGCTTGGCTTGTGGCAGGGCGGGTGGTTGGGTGGTGGTGCAGTAGTGCACACGCTTCCCTGGTGAGCACGTCGTTGGCCTCCTCTCTCTCCTCTTCCACTCGCTCGCGCCTGCACCGCCGCCGCCACGACGTTCATACCGCACCGCCGCCGCCACGTTCATACCGCACCGCCGCCGCCACGTTCATACCGCACCGACGCCACGACGTTCATACCGCACCACCGCCAGGACGTTCATACCGCACCGCCGCCACGTTCATACCGCACCGCCGCCGCCACGACGTTCATACCGCACCGCCGCCGCCACGACGTTCATACCGCACCGCCGCCGCCACGTTCATACCGCACCGACGCCACGACGTTCATACCGCACCACCGCCAGGACGTTCATACCGCACCGCCGCCGCCACGTTCATACCGCACCGACGCCACGACGTTCATACCGCACCACCGCCAGGACGTTCATACCGCACCGCCGCCACGTTCATACCGCACCGCCGCCGCCACGACGTTCATACCGCACCGCCGCCGCCACGACGTTCATACCGCACCGCCGCCGCCACGACGTTCATACCGCACCGCCGCCACGTTCGCACCGCCTCCTTGCTTGTACCAAACGACAACTTTGTCGCAGTGTGACGCCACCAGCTTGGTGACCTCCCTTCCCTTGATGGCGGGGGACATCCACTGGTTATAAAGTGTCGGCTCCTTGCAATATATATAAGTGCCCCGGATATAACGAGAGCTGCGCTGGCTAGACACCTTGCCAGCGTCTTGAGGATCTGTGTTGTGTAGCGGTGCTCCTCGGGACTAACAGCTCCGTTATATAGGAAGAAAATGTCAGGAGTGTAGCGATATGTGTTACGGTGAGTGAGGGGCGGGAGGACAGAGGTTCCAGCGCGGGCGGGGCAAGAGGCAGCAGCCCAGGGATAAACAATTCATGCAGGTTGACATGGCGGGGGAGGAGAGCGGTGAGATGCTCTCTCTCGCCCCTCACGTGACCAGACCCTGCTGGCCCCGGGACCGCCAGACCCTGCTGGCCCCGGGACCACCAGGCCCTGCTGGCCCCGGGACCGCCAGACCCTGCTGGCCCCGGGACCGCCAGACCCTGCTGGCCCCGGGACCACCAGGCCCTGCTGGCCCCGGGACCGCCAGACCCTGCTGGCCCCGGGACCGCCAGACCCTGCTGGCCCCGGGACCGCCAGACCCTGCTGGCCCCGGGACCATCAGACCCTGCTGGGAGTGGCCCCGGGACCACTAGACCCTGCTGGGAGTGGCCCCGGGACCACTAGACCCTGCTGGGAGTGGCCCCGGGACCACTAGATCCTGCTGGGAGTGGCCCTGGGACCACTTGACCCTACTGGGAGTGGCCCCGGGACCACATGACATAAAGTAAAGCGGAGAATAGTGGGGCTATCAGTGTGGCGTAGCCGGGTAAGATAGCGGCTTGTGGCAACCTGCTGACCCTGGTTACCTTGAGGTTACCTTGTGATGATTCCGGGGCTTAGCGTGCCCCGCGGCCCGGTCCTCGACCAGGCCTCCTCGTTGCTGGACTGGTCAACACGGCTGTTGGACCCGGCTGCTCGCAGCCTGGCGTGTATGAATCCCTGCTTGGTTAATTCTTACTGAGCCATGACGGGACAAGATCGTCACTGTGGCCTGACAGGAAGGCAGCGCCTCGCAACCCTCCACTCAGTAACAGTCGCCTCCAGGACCGTCCAGTTGTGAGCAGACCTCTCACCTTCACTCTCTCTAGACCTTCACTCTCCCTAGACCTTCACTCTCTCTCCCTAGACCTTCACTCTCTCTAGACCTTCACTCTCTCTCTAGACCTTCACTCTCTCTCTAGACCTTCACTCTCTCTCTAGACCTTCACTCTCTCTCTAGACATTCACTCTCTCTCTAGACCTTCACTCTCTCTCTAGACCTTCACTCTCTCTAGACCTTCACTCTCTCTCTAGACCTTCACTCTCTCTCTAGACCTTCACACTCTCCCTAGACCTTCACTCTCCCTAGACCTTCACTCTCCCTAGACCTTCACTCTCCCTAGACCTTCACTCTCACTAGACCTTCACTCTCACTAGACCTTCACTCTCACTAGACCTTCACTCTCCCTAGACCTTCACTCTCCCTAGACCTTCACTCTCCCTAGACCTTCACTCTCTCCCTAGACCTTCACTCTCTCCCTAGACCTTCACTCTCTCCCTAGACCTTCACTCTCTCCCTAGACCTTCACTCTCTCCCTAGACCTTCACTCTCTCCCTAGACCTTCACTCTCTCCCTAGACCTTCACTCTCTCCCTAGACCTTCACTCTCTCCCTAGACCTTCACTCTCTCCCTAGACCTTCACTCTCTCCCTAGACCTTCACTCTCTCCCTAGACCTTCACTCTCTCCCTAGACCTTCACTCTCTCCCTAGACCTTCACTCTCTCCCTAGACCTTCACTCTCTCCCTAGACCTTCACTCTCTCCCTAGACCTTCACTCTCTCCCTAGACCTTCACTCTCTCCCTAGACCTTCACTCTCTCCCTAGACCTTCACTCTCTCCCTAGACCTTCACTCTCTCCCTAGACCTTCACTCTCTCCCTAGACCTTCACTCTCTCCCTAGACCTTCACTCTCTCCCTAGACCTTCACTCTCTCCCTAGACCTTCACTCTCTCCCTAGACCTTCACTCTCTCCCTAGACCTTCACTCTCTCCCTAGACCTTCACTCTCTCCCTAGACCTTCACTCTCTCCCTAGACCTTCACTCTCTCCCTAGACCTTCACTCTCTCCCTAGACCTTCACTCTCTCCATAGACCTTCACTCTCTCTCTAGACCTTCACTCTCTCTCTAGACCTTCACTCTCTCCCTAGACCTTCACTCTCTCCCTAGACCTTCACTCTCTCCCTAGACCTTCACTCTCTCCCTAGACCTTCACTCTCTCCCTAGACCTTCACTCTCTCCCTAGACCTTCACTCTCTCCCTAGACCTTCACTCTCTCTCTAGACCTTCACTCTCTCCCTAGACCTTCACTCTCTCCCTAGACCTTCACTCTCTCCCTAGACCTTCACTCTCTCCCTAGACCTTCACTCTCTCCCTAGACCTTCACTCTCCCTAGACCTTCACTCTCCCTAGACCTTCACTCTCCCTAGACCTTCACTCTCCCTAGACCTTCACTCTCCCTAGGGTGACCCACCCTCTCCTGCCTCTCGTAAATTTAGAGTTTTTATTCAGGTAAAGATACATACATAATATTAGACTTAAAGATAGAGAATGTTGTTCCCTTCAACACAGGCCTAATGTTGTGTGTGGAATAGCTAGATGACTGATAAGGGGGAGATAGGTAATTAGCAGAGGGGGAGGGGAGTCTTGAGCCTATTGCAGGCAGGTCAGTGTTGCCACGGGTGTAAAGTGTTTCGTGTATCCTTCCCCTGCGTCACGAGAGATGTGTTGTGTGGTGGTGGTGGTGGTGGTGGTGGGGGTGCGCTGCAGTGGTGGCAGGTGGCGCGGGGGGTGGGGGAGTGTTGCTCCCTGCGGCCATTGCTGTTTTGTGCTTGTTTAGTTCAGTTTAGTTTCTACCACAGACGTGGCCATACATTTATACCATGCTAACCAACACCAACAAAGATGTATACACACATAAATCACAGTAACGGGATATATTAGACATTACAATCATGTCACGCTTAACTTCACTTTTTTATAGGATTTAAAATAAGCTTTATTTTATAAAGCATCTCTAACGCATAAGATGCGTTAAGGCGCATCTGGGACCATCCCGTGCGTAGGTTCGAACTCTCATCACGGCCCTTGTGGATTTGTTCATATAACATAGACGTATTTTCACCTGGCCTACATGGACAGGGTTTGAGAGCTGTTGCAGTACAAAGTGACTTACTGAGTGTTGAACGACTCATGGTGATTGAGGTGCATTTACAAACGGAATTATAATTTAACAGCATATATTTATATTCTTTAGTCTCTTCTACTTTGACAAGGCAAGAGTGTTGCTACAGTGAGTTATAATTATATATCACAAAAAACTAACATTGCATAACTGAAATAGAAAATCTTGGGTCCAGGTCCAGTATATCAAGTGTTCAGTTTCAGATAATATACAAAGTTGAGCATGTCTTACTCCAGGGGGAGTCGGTCACTATGGGGCATTTCAAGTCAGTTACATATGGCGGCAAGATAAATTTCAGAGGAATGCATGCTCCCCCTTTCCTCATGTTAGCATTAATTTTGAGAGAGCTGCCAGATACGTCTGTATCCCGGGAGTATCATGGCCGCTATATCATCACACTCCCGTGTTCTTGCTCTGTTAGTTCCTTGTATCCGGTCCCGATAGTCAACCTGTCCTCACACTAGGCTGGTTAAAGCAGCGGCCGTCCTCCCCAGACAACCCGTCCTCACACTAGGCTGGTTAAAGCAGCGGCCGTCCTCCCCAGACAACCCGTCCTCACACTAGGCTGGTTAAAGCAGCGGCCGTCCTCCCCAGACAACCCGTCCTCACACTAGGCTGGTTAAAGCAGCGGCCGTCCTCCCCAGACAACCCGTCCTCACACTAGGCTGGTTAAAACAGCGGCCGTCCTCCCCAGACAACCCGTCCTCACACTAGGCTGGTTAAAGCAGCGGCCGTCCTCCCCAGACAACCCGTCCTCACACTAGGCTGGTTAAAGCAGCGGCCGTCCTCCCCAGACAACCCGTCCTCACACTAGGCTGGTTAAAGCAGCGAGAGACACCTCCATACAAGTCTAACGTGTATGAATACACTCTGGCTTCCTGTCTCCCCCGACACCATGAAATATTATCATATAAACGTGTCTTGTGTGGCGGGTGCGTCAATGGTTGGCTGAAGTAATTATCAAAGAAGGCACCAAGCCGGGAAGGCTATGTAGCACCAATGGTTGACTTAAGCACCAGGCTCTAGTGTGAATAATTATGATCTGGCTATTCTCGACATATTCTCCGTGATCTGTAACACTGGTATGCTCCAGCTGTACCTCTCCAGGTATGCTCCAGCTGTACCTCTCCAGGTATGCTCCAGCTGTACCTCTCCAGGTATGCTCCAGCTGTACCTCTCCAGGTATGCTCCAGCTGTACCTCCAGGTATGCTCCAGCTGTACCTCTCCAGGTATGCTCCAGCTGTACCTCTCCAGGTATGCTCCAGCTGTACCTCTCCAGGTATGCTCCAGCTGTACCTCTCCAGGTATGCTCCAGCTGTACCTCTCCAGGTATGCTCCAGCTGTACCTCTCCAGGTATGCTGCAGCTGTACCTCTCCAGGTATGCTGCAGCTGTACCTCTCCAGGTATGCTGCAGCTGTGCCTCTCCAGGTATGCTGCAGCTGTGCCTCTCCAGGTATGCTGCAGCTGTGCCTCTGTTACCTCCAGGTCCAGCTTCTGCATTGGTCCGGGGTCTTGAAGTTGGTAGAGTGTAATTGTGAATAAGCTGGTTGTTGATTCCTGGTCTAGATTTCTTAATACGCAGCGCCTCATTGATGTCTTGAAGTAATGATCTAGTAGTAATAAAAACACAATCAAATCTGCCATAGTAGGAAAACAACATGTAAAGGATTTGGGAATAATGATGTCCGACGACCTAACGTTTAGGGAGCATAACCAAGCAAATATTGCGTCAGCCAGAAAAATGATAGGATGGATTACGAGAACTTTCAAATCCAGGGATCCCATCACAATGGTTGTACTCTTCAAGTTACTTGTGTTGTCCCGTCTTGAGTACTGCTCAGTACTCGCTTCCCCCTTCAGAGCAGGAGAGATTACTGAAATAGAGGGAATACAGAGAACATATACGGCACGCATAGACGCGATAAAGCGCCTAAATTATTGGGATCGTCTCAAAGCTCTCCAAATGTACTCACTA